AAAAAAAAAAAAAAAAAAAAGAAGCTAGAAGAGTGAGGAAATGGCCAAAGATCTGAAGACTAAGTGGGTGGAGTCTTCTTGTTTCAATCACCCAATTTGGTTGTGTCCAATCTGGCTTAATACAAGGAAGAACTTTCTAGCAATTAGAGCTGTTTGAAAGTGAAGTGGCTGCCTTCGGAGGTCCCCGTCACTGGAGGAGTTTGATCAACAGAAGTTGGACAAGTGCTTGTTTGGGATGCTGTGAAAAACCTCAGAAACTAGAGGAGTTTGGAGGATTTCTCCTGCACCAATCTTGAAGCTTCCTTCCATTCCCAGTCCTGAGATTAGAGGAGTCCAGACTCCCGGATCCCATGAATGTGCCTCTGAATCTCTCCTCCCCTTCCCTCACCGCACCTCTGAGGTTCCTGACTCCTCTGAGGTGGAGAAATCCTTCCCGGAAGGCTAAGTCCCCATCCCAGGAAGTGGGGGCGGACGAGGGGCTGGTCTGCTCACCTGTCGGTACCAGATGTAGGTGGTCAGTACCTGATTCTTCTCATCCTGTGAAAAGAAAGCGAGCTAAGCATGGGTGGCCCTGTGGGCTGGGGTCCACCTGCACATACCAGCCCCAAAAGTAGCTGATTTGTGTCCCTGTTCCCTCAGGAAGTGAGAGTGAAGAAAAAGGGTGGGGGAATGGGGCCAGCCAGGAAAAGTGGTCTTTTACTGGGACACACCTAGAAAGAAATATAACTTTTTTAACTTCATATATATATTTGTATATACCTTCTATTATATTATGCGTATTATATGTATGTCTATTATGTTATGAATATTTTACATATATACTATATATAACATCATAGAAGATAATAGAAGGCATATATAACAATATCATACATATCTCTATATTTTTATTTGTATGTATATATATCTATATATCTGTACCCGTCTCTTGCCCGAGTATGAAGTCAAGAGGTACAAAACCACATAGAGTGAAAAATTCATCACTCTCCCTCCCTCCCATCCAGTTCTCAATTTCCCTTTCCGAAATAGACATATTGACTGCAGTAGAGACGTGAAGTCAGTTCTCTCCCACCTACCCCAACACAGTGCCCTGCATCTCTGTAATTATCTTCTTGTTTATCTCTGCACAATGTCCGATCTCCTCTACTGGGAAGTGCACCCCCCCTACTACAGTAATTGATGAAAGAATTGATTAAATTGATTTATGATTAATTCTTCAACAACCATTTAGTAACACCCACCACGTCCCAGGGACCTGCGTAAGACACCGAGGGCATAGAGGGGAATAGGACAGCCTGAACCCTCACACAGCTTACACAGGGAGATGGTTACCATGATACAATGTGTGAAGAACTACATGTGGTAAGTGACCCGCTGGCTGTAGGGGTGTTGGAGAGGCAGCCACACAGGTGACCAGTTTTCTGTGTGGGCAGCCGTGCAGATGGTGGGTACTGCAGTCTGCCCTGAACTGTGGTGCCAGACCACAGGTACCATGGGTACTTGAGTGCCCACCGTGCTGCCCAGGGGGTGACTTGGTGTCACCTGGTCTCCCATCCCAAAAGGCCCACCTCTGAGCCGGGCAGATTGGGGCCGAGCACTCACCACGCTGAGGATGGCATAGACCATGACATCAATGGACACGGTGGTTGGCTTTCTCCAGTCCCGCACGGGTCGCACGCCCTTCTTGTAGTTGGCCAGGAGGTAATCTGACAGCCTGAGCAGAGCGGGCCTGGAGGTGTTACGAGCCTGGGGTCCCCCCCTTTGCCTGGCTGGGAAGGAGAACAGTTCAAAGTGGACATCAGAGCCTGAGTCTCCCCCAGTTCTCTTGCCCTGGTTTGAAAGCTATTAGAAGGAAAGTGTCCCCACCGTTCCCACCTCACAAAATTCCCAGATACCCCCACAGACTGAAATTCCCATCACTAGAGCATTTTGTCTGCAGAGATTCCTGCCAAAATTCAAAGGTATCGTCTCATAAGAGTAACCTACGTGCTCATTTACACGAGAGATGGAGCTGGGCTGCAAAAGCAGGTGACACAGGACAGGTGGGGTCTGAAGCAGGCCAAGGGCTGAGAAAGTTCGAGAGTAGGGACCTGCCCAGAGGAGGTGGCCTGTGGGGCCCTGGATGAGGGGCTCTGGGGAGCCAAAGGGAAGCTGCCCTGCATGTGGGATACTGGAAGGTGAGAAGGGTGTAAGGAAATGGGGCCCCAGGTGCACAATTTCTAAGCCCAGTGGTATGCATGAGGGTTTGCCTCAGCCAAGGTCAGATCTCAGCATCTGCACAGCTCCTCATTGTCTCCTTGACCCTGGCCTGCAACTGACAAAGAAGGAGGGGCATCCAAGGAAACAGATACTGCCTCTCCTTCCTGCAAAATCCACCCCGAGAAGATCCTCTCCCTCTCCCCACCACACGCACACGCAGAATCCTAGGAGAGGCTTTGCTGGGTCTCCTTCCTAGGGTTGCTCTGTGGGCAAATTTGATGGGGTTAGGGAGAGGGTTAGGGGTGAGGTGGAGAGGTAGTGAGGAGAAACCAAATTGTTCCCAGAGCTGGAGGACTGCAAAGACAAATAGCGACGAGAAAACCCAACTCCTAGGCCCTAGCCCCATTCTATGGGGATGTCATGGGCACCTCAGCTATCCCTCTGGGAAACAGTAGAGACACTTCCTGAAAGGCGTCAAGAGATATGAAGATGAAAGGCCTAGGGTGGGGAAGGGGGACCACCCTAGAGGACCAGGGTACAGGCTGCAGGGATGTGAGGGGACAGGCAGGGGGAGACCAGGGTCTTTCACAGACCAGGAGCCAGCAGGCCTGGCTTCCTCCAAACAAGACTCCCTCTTTGCTCATCTCGTCTATCTAGTGTGCAGCCTGTGCAGTCAGTTGGTCCTACACCCTCCCCTTCCTGCCCCTCACCCACCCATCCCTGATAAACTGTCAGCTTCCCTGAGGGCAGAGAAGAGCAGAGAGAGAGAGAGAGAGAGAGAGAGGGAACACAAGAGACCATTTATTGAGTGTCTTCTTTGGAATAATATCAGTTAACTTATTCACTTCTATCTTAGAACAGCCCACTAGGGTGGCTGTCATGATAGCCCATTGTATAGACAAGGATCCCCAATGCTCAGAAAGGTGAGTCCTGTGCCTTGCAAGTGGAGGAACGGAGATTCAAACCCAGATCCCTGTGCGTCTTCACTACACCAGCAACAGCCCAGATCCTATTATCTGGGACTCTGACCAGTTTGGAGGGAACCAGATGGGGCCCCACACGCCTCAGAGTGAAGGGCTCTTGCTGGGAGGGACAGAACTCCTCCTCAGCCAAGTCTGGGTCTTCTCCCCAGACCACAGTCATAACTTGCAGCCTGGGCCTGCTTGTACCACTGAGTTTCCCCGATGACAGTCACGGGGAAGAAAACTTCTGTGCCCATGAGCCCTTCATGTCTGTCCAGCCCTGGATGGCATCCTAACTGTGCCCCAGCCCCAGCTTCAACCAGCTCTGGATGGGGAGAAAACCTTCCAAAATGCGGAACGAGTACTGTCTGCAGCCAAAGGAAACGGATCCTTTTGGGACTAAAACACCCTGTATCCACACGAAGCAGGAAAGGATGGGTGGGGGATGCAGAGCAAAGTTTGGTGTTACTGGAGTTAGTCCTGAGAGGGAACTGAGAAAATGAAGGCCCGGAGAACCCGTGCAATGGAACCAGGGAAGTTGAGGAACGACATCTATGTTAGTTCTCATCTCACTCTGCTGTTACGAGCTGTGTGAGATTGTGTGAATTACTCCCCTCTCTGGACCACAGTGTTCCCATTTATAACAAGAAGCGGTGGACAAAATGAGCTCGAAGGTTCCTTGCAGCTGCCATTCAATGGGCTTAGGGGCAGGGCAAAGAGGAGAGGGGCCCCCCTCTAGCACCGGTCTAGCATTTCTGATACAGCAGCTGCTGCTCTGCTCCCCAGCTCTCACTGGGGACTCACCCTCCCCAACTTTCTAGCTGGACCACAGTGCCTTAAAATTCCCTCATGCTCCTCTGTGGTAAGATTCCTGACTTTCCTGCAGCAGCATCCACTCCATAAACCGCTCCCCCAACCCTTGGAGGAATCAAGCATCCCCTACCCCACCCCTGTAGATGACCAGCCAATCCCTGCGTGTTTTCCCACCGTCCCCTTACCTTCTCCCTGTGCCAGGAGTGTGGGCAGAAGCAAGGCAAGCAGTGCCTGTGGCACCCACAACAGCATGGTGTGCTTCCCGCGGTGTGGGGGTGCCTTGGAGTGGCCTTCAGAGTGAGTCCCGCGGAGGACCAGCCTGCCCGCACTCTGCCAGCCTCGTGTCCCAGCCAGCCTGCGTCTCCCGAGTGCTCCCTGCAACTTCTGAGGCTGCAGCCTTGCACTGCCCTGGCCACGAGGGTTGGGAAGCCGCCAAGTTTCCTGCAATCAGTCCTTCAGCTGGCTCAGGTTTCAGGGCAGGAGGGAGGCGGGGAACCAGTGAGAGGGGAGCCCGCCCAGCTGATGTCATGCAGCTGGAGCTCAGTCCACCAATTCAGCCAGGTGGCCTGGCCAAGTTCCCCAGGGACTAACTTGGGGACGGGGGCTGCAGGACCCCCTGGAGCAAGAGCGCAGCCTGTCTGCTGGGAGGTGCTCCAGGCTGCTGCCTTCATTTGTGTCCCACGACAAATATGTTTCTGTAGCACTGGGCTGGGGCAGGGTGGGGTGAGATGGGAGGAGCAGGAGGGCCATTCTCTCGCTCCATAGGGTGACACAGTGCCCTAGCTAAGCAGGTGACTGTGCATCTCTGCAGACAGAAGAAGGAGACCTGGGGTCACCACATGTTTGCCCTTTTGTCCTCATCTAAATATTCATATTTAAATATTTAAGTAGTAATTTATATAGATAATTTTATGCTATACATATATATTTATATATTTTTAATATACATAGTAAATAGGGTTGTAAAAATATAATAGTAACACATGCTCACTGTAGTAAAATATGAAGAAAAATTAAAATCATCCATAGGCTTACTGCCCAGAGACAGCCACTGTTAATATTTTGGTGTATATTCTTCTATAATTTCCTTCTATAATATGTATACAATGAAGTTAATATACCATATATGTAATTTTGTATCCAGACCCTTTTTTGCTTAATATCATTTCATGAGCATGCTCAACACTTTTCTTTTAAAGGTTGTTTTCCTTACGTCAGAAAGAGAAAGACAAATACCATATGATTTCACTCGTGTGGATGATAAACAAAGAAATACATAGATAAGGAGAACAGGTTACCAGGGGAAAAGGGTGAGGGGAGGGTGAAAGGGGTAAAGGGGCACATATGTATGGTGGTGGACAAAACTAGACTATTGGCGGTGAACATGATGCAGTCTATACAGAAACTGAAATATAGTGATGAACACCTGAAATTTACACAATGTTATAAGCCAATATGACCTCAATAAAATAATTTTTTAAAAATATTGTTTTCTTGAAAGAAGTGTTTCTTTTTTCTTTGTAAGTTAAATAGGCAAGTATCTATTCCTCAGATACCCAATCACGTACCACCAAAATTATCTGAGAAAAGAATTGCCGTGAATTTCTGTTGGAAGGAATCCCACCCCCACTTCCCCAGGTGAGTAGATGTGGGCGTTTCTACCTCGAGTGTGTTAAAGGCAAGATGCCCCTGTATCAAATCATGGCAAACTTCAACAACAAAACATTTTCATTCCTTTTAATCCCTTTTCCAGCTGAGTTTTAAGTGTAGCATAGGCTGAGAACACTGTAGGAAGGAAGAATTTTCTGAATTGTAGTTAAGTTAAAAAAAAAATCACCTCTGTCAGGGGTGAGTCCTTTTTGGTTCTGTCTGGATTTTTCTGTCTGAATTTTTTCGTGTGCATGATGGAATCTGCACATAGCACCACGCTTCTCCCTAATGGAGTCCCTTCATAGGCCGTTGGGCAGAGTTCGGCCCTGGAATGTTCAGGCAAGCTCAAGGATGTTGGGCTATCCTTCTCTTAAGTCATGTGCTTCCTCACTGCACAATTCAGAAAAACAAGGAAAATCATCTCCAAGAATTCTTTTTGGAGGAACAGAGATGAGGACAAGTGGTAGAATAGAAGAAAATAGGTGGCCCCACACTTCTAGGGAATTTAAAGAGCCGGATACCCCAGAGTGATTGTACACAGAATCCAGGCTTGACAGCGGGACAAGGCAAGGCAGGAAGAATTAGGCTGCCCCCTGGCCTCCAGGCTGAGGTCTTGAAGGGGCTCAAACTCAGAAGGAGCACTTGTGGATTCCTAAATGTGTCCTCAAGCCCAACATCTGGAGTGATAAACAAAGATTCTTAGGCTCATGTTCACCTCCAATTATGGCCATTACCACTTAGAAATCTGCTGCAAATTTCTAGAAGGATTCTCCTTTTGCTCATGTGCATTATGAAATCTGCATACAGCATTATACCATTCATTGATGGGGTCCCTCCATGTGGCCGCTGCCGGGATTTGAGCTTAGCAGTCACAGACTCACTTGGGGTTTCCATTATGATTGTTTCATCCTTAAAAATGAACAGACACTGGGCCAGCCCTGGTTGCCTAGTGGTTATGTTTGGCATGCTTCACTTCTGCGGCCTGGGGTTCGGTTTTTGGGCATGGATCTACACTGTTCTATCAGTGGCCATGCTGTGCTGGTAGCCCACATACTAAAAAATAGAGCAAGACTGGGCACGGATGTTAGCTCAGGGCGAATCTTCCTCAGCAAAAAAAACCAACAAAAAAACAGACATTTAACTGCTCCCCCACAGAACCCTAACCACTGCCCCCAAATGCCCCATTTGTACCCCTTGGGGCTCCCTGTGTATATCCACGAGGCACTCCCCATCTTTTGCTCCAAGCCGAGGCCGGTACCTGGGGCCCATTCTTTCCACAGAGCTGAGCCACCTGGACACGGAGAGCCAGGAAGAAGCAGCAAGCACTGAACTTGTTCTGAAAGGGGCAGCGCCAAAGCAGGAGGGAAAGGGGCCAGAAGAGGATGAAAAGAAACAGAAGGTAAAACTGAAGAAAAGGAGAAATGTGGAGGACAACAAGGGAGAGAGGTAAAAAATAAGAGGAAGATGAGAAAAGAAGGAAAAATTGGTAGGAAACTGAGAAGGAAGAGGAAGATTGGAGTAAAAGGCAAGAGGAGAGGGGGGAAAAGAGGAAAAGAGAAAGAAGAAAAGGACAGAAGGAAGAGGAGGAGGAAAGATGAGGCCCCGGCAGCAGGAGGAGGCAGAGCTGTGAAACCAGGGTGCCTGAATGTGGCTGACCCCTCCCCACCACGGGACTCTGGAAAGTGGGCTCTCCACACTGTGGAGTGGAGTGCCAGCCATGGGTGTGTGCTACGACTCGGGGGCAGTGAGAAAGCCTGGAGACCCTGCGCCACGGTCCCCAAGCCTTCATTTCTGCACCAAGCTCCCGGAATCCTCTGGGACTGCCCAATTGTGTTAGGGAGAGAAGAAGATGTCTTCGGCACAGTGTGTGCATTAGGGAATTAGCCTCTTAGGTAACAGGATTAGAGCGAGCCGGGCAGGCACAGCCTCGAATGGAGATGTATTGCCTGTGCGCCTCTCTGATGGAGCAGCAATCAAGTTTCCCCTGAAGAAATTTCCTATTAATGGATTTGATGGCACAACGGGGCTGGGAGGGAGTTGGGGCCGTGGCCAGTGGCGGGGTGTAAATTGCCTGCAATGAAACTGTGGAGTCACTTTTGCCCCTTTTAAACAAGATAAGCATTAGTGCGAGTCCTTGATGAACTCTCCTTGGCCGGTGAGGATGAGGGAAAAGCAGAGGCCTGGCTAATTTGATTCCTGATCTCTGCCTGCAGACGGCCAGTCTCCTCCCAGGGAGTGGAGGCAGACACGCAGATGGCAGTGGTCCAGCGTGGGCAATGAAAACCTCTGAGACTACAGGACCTGCAGGCCTGGGCCTTCCGTCTGTGCCAGCTGCTCCCAGCACCATGGGAAGGAGGACTGTACTCACATATGTGCCTAGAACTTTCCACCCATCCATGTATGCACATTGTCATACCCATTATCACTTTTCTCGCTTCCATTTTTCAGGTTAAAACACAGAGCCCAGAGAGCCTCCATGACTTGCCTCCATTCCCACAGCAATTTATAGATGGAACTGAGATCCTCGAGACTCCTGCCTCCAGCGTTTGCATCACAGCTGTGTTTCCCAACTTCTCCAGTAAATTTTTACTGGTCTGTAAAACTTTTACCACCAAAGAGCCTGACCTTTTAAAACATATAAACTTACAGAAATTCTGCAACCAGTAGTAACACCCAGCCCCACGAGGGGCCCACCTGCTAGGGAAGGGCTGAGGGGGGCTTACGGTTTGTTATCATGGTACTAAATGTAGCTTCAACCTCCATCACCTGGAGGAGAGGGATTCACGAAGCCCCACTGGTTAGATACCCAGGGTGGCACCTGCTCACGGAGTCCCTACGAGACGCCCCCCCCCCCCCGGCTCCGGGGATGGCATAGGGAGAACAGACAGGTGCAGCCTTTCCTCCACCCAGTTCCAGGGACTGGACACATCCTGGCATGGAGGTTAAAACATTTAGGGGTTGTCTACCCAGGGAGAGGGTGGGAACCAGCAGGATGGGAAGATGCCTGACTCAGTTTTCCCAGTTCCCCTGCCCAAAGAGGCAGCAGTGGCCTTTGTAGGGAGGAGAGAGGAGGAGCAGTGTCACAGGAGGGTCTCTTCCCTCCTGGTTTTTCTTTCCATGATGTTCCATCATGTTCCATCAGGACCTTTTCTCTATCAAGGCCCTGGACCTTGGAACGGCCTGGTTCACCACCACTCCACCAACAGTACCTACCATTTGTCAAGCATACTATGTGCCAGGCACTGTACCAAGCTCTTCAGCTTGTTTAATCCTTATTTCTTACGAAGAAGATATTATTATTCCCATATTGCAGGTGAGAATATTGAGGCACAGAGAAGTTAAGCAATCTGTGCAGAATTACATAGCTGGTATGTGGAAGGTATGGTATTAGGTCTTATAGATTCAAAATCCTGAGCTCTTAACCACCTGATTACACTGAGTCCCAGAGCCTTCTCTTGGATTTAGACCCAGGCTGATTGGACTCTGGCTCCAATCCCGGGAATGGATGGGGTCCCCACTCCTGCCTTGATTACTCTTATTGAAAGGGCAGGCTCATTGGGCTGGCCGTACATAAGCCCACTAATTAAAGATATTTTTATTAAAGAGTGTCATAAGTAAGAATATGCAGCGACTTAATGGACCATTAAGTTAACTATTTTCCCTACGAAGTGGATTCAGATATACTGCTCTCTACCATCCTGGTCCCAGCAAAGCCAGTTTCTGCAAATGTCAGGTATGGGGCTTCACAGTCAGTTTGGGACTGGTGACCCCTGCAGCCCCTCCGCATAGTATGGAAGTGATGCTAGAGTTTTTGGTGTGTGATATTGTTCTATAGAGTCTGGGTGCATGGGGTGG